AAAAAAAAATGAGCTTAAGGAAAAAAATTATATGGTCAGGAAACTCACTGATATTGAAGTTTGACTCTTTCAAAGTAAGGTGAGGTACACCAGGAACAAAGGATATAGTGGGAGGAATAAGTCCCCCATAGCTGTCCAAAACACTGGACAAGTCACCAGTTCTACAGCACTGCTGCTTTCCCTGTTCCTCCTTTGCGCATCACTGTATTCTCCTGATATTTAGCTGGTCATAGTTGGACATGGTGGCACATACCTCTAATTCTGGCCCTTGGGAAACTCAGGCAGGTGGATCACCCTGAATTGGAGGCCAGCCTGGGCTACATAGTTCAAGGCCATCCTATATTACAAAGTGAAACCCTGTCTCAAAAATCAATTTGTATTATCTATTTGTAGCTTCCTTTGTTTTATCTCCTGGAAATGTTGTGTTTTAATTTTAACCTGATTTTTTTCTTTACCAGTGCAGTAGTCTTGATTTAAAGTTTATATGAGTAATAAATAGAAAAGTAAATAAGCAATCAATGCCATCTTCAAAGAAATGTTGATCCTTAATCTGGATGATATTTATTAGATGGAAATTCTTAGCACAGATAGCTTTTCTGAGTCCTGTTTTTCCTATTGGTATAATTGGACTGGCTTTTAGGTGGTTCTGGGTATTAGAGATACAGTATCAGGCACAGTACTTGGCAGGTTGGGAATACTCAACCTATAGATCTGACCATTGCAATTATTACTGCTCCTCCTGCTTTCTAATCCTTACTCATTAGAGTTACTACTATTGCTCTGCTGCTTATTACCTCAGTATTTACCAATAGATTTTTTCTATAATTAAAATAAGCATTATGATGCAGATGAGATTAATTTCTACTACATCCTACATAGGAAAATCTGAAATACTTTTTTGCTTTATTGAATGCAAAAAGAAAATAGCATTTCAAATATCTCTGCATGTAATGTAAATTAGAACTTCTCCTTTCTTATTTCAGTAAAGTACATTTGTTTTTCAGGAGAATTCTTCTTTCTCTAGATACTGAACAATGGAATCAACTGAAATCTATGTATGTGAAGCTATACACAGTACTGAGTCATAATTATTATTCTGTGTCTGTCTTACTGTATCAAATTTGGAAATTGAGCTCAGTACCTCATGTTGGCCAGGCCTTGCCACTGAGCTATGTCCTTAGCCCTTGTATCAAATTTTATAAAAGCTGGTAATGCCTTTATATGAGCTACAAGTAACTCAGTAACTGATGACATTTCAGAGAACATTTCCACAGGGACACACAGAAAGTACTGTTATTTATTTTAGTGAATACTACTAAGGGGACACACAAAAAAGTGCTGATACTTCAGAGAATATTACCATGGGCACACATAGAAAGTACTGTTACTTCAGAAAATATTACCAGGGAGACATACAGAAAGTACTGTTACTTACTTCAGAAAATATTACCAGTGGGACACACAGAAAGTACTGTTACTTACTTCAGGGAATACTACCAGGGGGAGAATACAGAAAGTACTGTTACCTACTTCAGAGAATATTACCATGGGGACACACAGAGTACTGTTACTTCAGAAAATATTACCAGGGGGGACGCACAGACAGTATTGTTACTTACTTCAGAGAATATTACCACAGGCACACACAGAAAGTACTTTACTTCAGAGAGCATTA